AGCCGCGTCCTCGAGGCCCCGACGGAGGCAGAAAGAAATAGAGAGAAAGAGAGAAAGAGAGTGTATGTACCCTCTCGATAACAGGATCGATAAACATCGTTACTATTACACGGCAAACACAGAACGCGCGAGCGCGCTAACTACGGCGCCTCTCCTCTCGAGTCTCAAGGATATATCGTTACCAGGGCAAACGGACGGAAGGACGAGTGGAATGGACGGATAGGCTGCCGGATCGATGCTCGGTCGATCCTCGGCGGCGGCCAGACGGCGACCCGTTCCGTGGCGCGGCGAGAACCGCGGCCAAAACCGATTTGATCCGACTTCGAAATATCTCATCATCCTTTATATCGGATCATCATCGAATTTGGAAGGTCGCGAGGAACATGTAAACCCATGTAAAGGGTATACATCGTGAGAGAAAAATGAAAAGAAACGGTCGAAAAGGGAAGCTCATCTCATAGTAGAACGCTAAGCGTTCTTAGCTCACCAGATAGTGGATCACAGTAGATATAGAAATTTTATAAATAATGTAGATGACTAACAGCTATATATATATATATATATAGAATAGAATTTTCTGATAACTTAGAATAGAATTTTCTATGATAACTTAAGCTTTATTATAGATTAAACTCGTAAATACGATGCTTCTTAAAATTAGATATCTCGTAGACATCTAAAACAAATATAAAGATACAGTAAACAATAGAATTTTATAAAAATAATTAAATGGACGATAAATGGCTTTTAAATGGATAATAAATCGTGTTGCAATGTTACCGATGTCCTGACTATAAACTAGAAGATCGTTAAAAGAATCGTTTAATTTTCTTGTAACTAATATAGAGATTTCGAGTCATAGATGTGAAACTAGATGGAAAAATGTCGCTTACTTAGTTAAAATCTCCAGCAGAAAGTGCTACATTGATCTCCGATTGATATAATTTTTCTTGCTGAACGCCCCACTTTAGCGAGGTACTTATCTCTTCACTTGTTTTTTTTCTTTCTTCTTTTTTTTTTTTTTTTCATAAATGCCTTGGGATTTCTTTGGGTTCCGACAATTTGTTGCGACAAGTCCGCGTAGCGGTCTGTGTACACTTAATGGCATCTCTGATAGCCTACTTAAGTAGTCGCGATAAGAAGCTGAAGAGTCTTCATAAACTCGGTACTGCTTGGTACCAGAACTGAAAAGAAGTGGAACAAACAACGATAGAGGCGCGATACATTTATTAATGCAATTTCGACAATTCTCGAAAATGATAAAGTTTAAAATTAAAAACGAGTCAGCAGTCCTGCGGTAACGCAATTAATAATACTTCAAGATCGAAATAGAGAGATGTTAAGAAGATATTAAATCAAAGTAATGACTTTCAAGAAAAAAAAAAAAAAAAACTGAAAATTAAATTAAATTAAAACGGCCCGATGTATAAATAAAATAGAAACATAGAAAGAGAAAGGGAGGGAAAGAGAAAGAGAAGAGTTAATAAAATTTATATCACAAAGATATAGCATTGGTAAAAATATAATGTCTGCTGGTGGAGAAGAAGAAAATAAAGAAGCAAGATATAAATTTTATTGATCACTGATTAGAGGCGCGACAGTGGCTTTTTGATAAAAAAAAACATCGTGTACCTATTCGAACAGGTTTGTCGATAAAGAGATACTGATTTCAATGATTACAGCAAGTACGGTTCGGAACACATTTGTGACGAAAAAGGGGGAACAGACAAGATCCTTGAACGATAACGTGAAATTACGACTTATTGATGAATTCGGATTTAGAAAACGTCCGTATTCTCTATCGATTAATATTCACGACGTTGCGTGAATTTCCATGACTTCGGTATTGACGATATTGTTGATATTGTTGATTTTATCGTGATATCAATGACGATGTATAACAAAACTCTGATATTACAATATAAGAAACTCTGGTACGACCTTGGAGATCAAAAATCCATATCCAGGAAAAAGAAGAAGAAGAAGAAGACATGTACATGTGTGTTCCAAATACGTACTTTCTCTTTAGAAACGAAGATTTCACCAACAAGATAATAATAAAGTAGCAGCGATATGAAAGATATACAAAGTAAATTAAAGTAGAAAATTAATACCTCCAATTATCTTAGTTTCTATTAAACGCTCCTTCTCTTTTAATTCTCATAATACGAAACGATAGAATCGACAATAAAGCGCAACTGATAAATTTTATAAAAGGTTCATCAAAATGACATTTAAAAATCCAATAAAAAAAAAAAAAAAAAAAAACGAACCGCTTAAAATTTAACGAAAAACAAATATCCATCGAATCGAATGTTTCTTTGTCGAAGAGAGATGAAAATATCTATCCTCGTCCTAATCAACTACGAAGATAATTACATTAACCAACTGTATCAGTGTAAATATTAATTTATCGCGTTTTTATATCGACTTGCTAGCGTTGGATAAAGAAACTCCAGCAAAATAAAGTTATCGATGCGAATATATAAAATTGCTCCAGTGAAAATTTTAGAACGTGAAAATTTTTTCCCCTGCTGTCCCCGCTGAATTATTAATCTTAAATAAACAGACCTGTGATACAATGCAATACAAATGATTTCTTAAATAAAATCTTATTCCATCAAAATGAAAGCAACATATCACTTTCGCTTTGAAATATTTACATCTATATTTATACATCTTGTAGCAATTTAATTTTTTTTTTTTTTTTTTTTTTGTTAACGATTAATAATACGTAATCTCTGATATCTTTAGATTTTAAAAATCACCGCAGATTGTATACTCTTAATTAGATTTTTTTTTTAATTTCGCTCAAAATTTCATAATTAAAATTTCATAATTAATAAAATTTCATTCACGACGAAATGTGCGTTGGGAGCGCTGTTGTTAGTCGTGCGCTAACTAACATGGCCGTCTCGAAAAGCCAGTTTTGTGTGGTTCAATCGAATTTATCAAATCCGCCGCCAATTGAGTCAACTGTCGTGTGCGTTTGTTGCTCCGTTATTCAGCGAATTGTAGGCGTTATTCAACTATGCATACGCAGCATACGCTGTTAATGAGCCGCGTATGCGCGTATTCGTGTTTACACGCGATTTTAGCGATCATTCAGCACAAGCCGAAGAGACAGGTGTCAATTGGAGATGATGATGATCGCATGCGGATCGCATGTCGAAGGTGTTTGGAAACACACGTATATTTATGATAACGCAATTAAAGTTAACGAACTTTTCAGACTAAACTAATATTTCCTGAGTCACCTCGGATCTTTGCACAATATCTTCGAATATTCAGAGAGGCCTTGGAATCTTCGATCTTCTCAAAATTATAGGATCTTTCGATCTGATGACTTGTTGAAGCTACCGTTGAATTTTTCATACTACTCTCTTCTTCTTCGACATTAATTTGAGTTTCATCGAGCTTATTAAAGAGGGAAGATTTAGTTTTAAACCGCTACGCTTCAAGTCCGTTAGAAATAACGGTATGCAGTTGGCGACATAAGTAATTATCTTGAATTTATATATTTATAAGCTCAAAAATAAAAAAATTAAGTCTCAAATATTTACAGACTGAGTTCAGAAAAAGAATAAAGAAGTTGATCGATTGTTCGATCGATACATTAAATGCAGAAAAAAATCTAGAAATATATTTCAACGTTGTTATTCAACGATTGCATAATAGGTTTTCTGTTTTTAAATATTTCTGCTTATATATTCTTTAAGTGAGGTTCATAACGACATTAATAGATCTATTAGAAGCCTCCCACTTTTAGAAATAACTTATTTGGAGAGTTGTGTTGAATTGTGCTAGATTTGTGCTACATTGTGCTCGAATTTTAAAACCGTAATGTGAAAAATGTCATAAAAAATGTGATAAAAAAAAACGACATTTTAAGTTAGTTTCCCACTTTGTCGATTTTTTTTAATTTTCTCGATTGTGCTAGGTTGTGCTAGATTGTGCTAACATTGTGCCAAAATATCATCTTTAAAAAATAATAACAATAGAAGTTATGATAAAAAATAGATTTGGGAAAAAAAATATATAAATGACATTTATTCTTGTATCAGTCATCTAAAGAGCATACAAATGCACATCTAACATATACTCGCTTAGCACAAATCAGCACAACCGACGGTTTCGTCAGCACAACGATATGAAGGGCACTTTACTCTTGAGCGTGGCCCTTCTCGCATTTTATGTTAAAAAAAATGTTCGGGTTTGTAGTTAATGATCGCTAGCCTAAAATGTCGTTTTTTTTCATTTTTTATAATATTTTTCATATTACGGTTTTAAAATTCGAGCACAACTCTCTCAAAATAAGTTATTTCTAAAAGTGAGGGACTAACTTCTAATAGATCATTAATAGAGTGTGTATAAATAATTTATCGTTTTTTTTCTATCTTCTTTTTTGTCTCATTTACTGCTTGAGCGATTGCCGAATGCAAATCGCTGAAATCAATGACGTCATTCACGATACAATCGTAAACAATGACAGGAATACGAGCGCATTAATAATCGCCCCCGAGAAAGACGTGCTTGCTTGTCTCGAAGTTAACTTTTCATTCTTTAATTTTCAACTCGTAGATCGCAATTTTCAGCTTTTTTGATCCGCATTTTTCGATTCCTAGTTTTCAAAATGTTTAAAAAAAGTTAACAATTTACATTTTTGATGAACGTAAATCCCATCAGACGCTTATTTAACTTTCAAATTTCAGAAACTTCTAAACTATGATTGACAATAAAATGAGATTTAAGTAAATCAGTTAATTTTCTTTTTCTTCATTAGTAGTTAATTCAACTTAATTCAACTTTTTGTCCGGCAGCGATCAATTTGCTTTTCTAATGTTCGCGTGAGATGTATTTGCTGCAGATCAACTTCCCGCAAGATCAACTCCTTGTTCCTTGTATCTCGTTCTTATATTTTATCATGTCTCGACCCTTAGACGTGTATCGGGAACAACGAAGGTTATCTAAAACTGTGTGCGCACGGCCATTTTCTTGGCTGACCGGTTGCGATACTAGCGCCGAGTATTTTCAACAATAATAATGCCGGCGGGAGATAGTACGGAAAAACATTCGTCATAAGTCCGTTAACCCCGCAAAAGAGAATGCGCGCGCGCGCGCATGCGCTCTTTGTTCCGTTCCTAAAGCACATTTTAGACGATTTGCAATTCGCGCCGGATTTTACATAGGAATAACAGAATTCGATTTGTAACTTTCATGTCATGTATTTTAGCACAAACATAGTTTAATATACGTTGTATGTTTTCTATTGTTAAATAATTTTTATATTATCTCACAGTATATAAAATTGTAAATAGAATTTTATTCTTATTTCTAACATGATTCGGATAAAACGGACAAGGAAAAAATAAACTTTCAAATTTCAGAAACTCCTCAACTACGATTGACAATAAAATAAATATTAAAAGGCTTAATTTTCTTTTCATTTCATTAATAGTTAATTAGTAGTTAATAAGGTAATTTAATTACTAATTCAGCTGCTTTTGTCCGACAATGACCATCTTATATACTTTTTTTATAACGCAAATAAACAAAAAATGCAAGAACGTAGACAAAATGTACACATACTTGGCTGGATTTAAAAACACCGGATGTATCATTTTTTTATTGTTCATCGAATTAAACAAGGATACTTGAAAATAATACTTGAATTCGGATCTTATTTCTGAACGCATTATTTCTGTGTTCCAAAATTCATTGTTAGGGAGACGTTCATAGTCCATTCTTGTTTCAAGACTGTTTAAGCAATACTTTAAGATACTAATGTGGTTTTCATTGGATTATGAGAATTTAAGTATGTACTTAAGACAATCTTAAATATAAAAACTGACTATATATCTAATACTGAAAATATAATATAGTTCATATATATATATTGCGGATAATGGATTTTTAGTACTTTAGTCGTGAATTTTGAAACGCAGCCATGATAATAAATTTTCTAGATCTCTGTAGAGATCTTTTTTAGCCCTTTTGTAATCAATAACCAATTATAGGCCATAGTGTAACATCATAGACTTGTTTTGAACTTTTTACAATGTTCATCTTTCCTCTTTTTTTCCTCAACTTTTTTTGTCCTACGGACAGAAAAAAGTCATTGAAAAGTATTCAAAAAACTAAAAAGTGAAATGTTATGCTTTTTTTATCTTGTATGATAAATGATTACGCATTTCCTTTATCTTCAGGCTAAAAGAAAATACTTGTATGCTTAATATTTTTTTCTCCGAATCGGTAAAAAACATTTTACTTTTTATCTTCATCGATTTTTATCTTCATTTGATTTTTTTACATTTTGATTATGTTTTGTACAATTTCATTAGAATTTGAAAGTTGTTTTTTGCACCCGCTATATTGAACTTATTAATTTTCGTCTTTCCATTTTATTTTCATATTCAGCCATCTCAAAATAATTAAATTCTTTTCTCATAAATCAGATTAAAGAGAATTTTTCTTCGTGTATAATCAGATCAACAAATTGTAAATATCGATTTTGGACAAATCAAATATTTTTATAAAAAAAAAAAAAAGGATCTTTCAGTTTTTGATGAATTAAGCCGAGATTTGCATCAGAAGCCTTGGAACGAAGATGTTAAAAGCGAAGGAAATATGAGGAAACCGAACAATTTTTTATTAACAAAACTGGTTTAGGTCATTAAAAACCAGACTTAAAACCTGGGCCAGACTTTGCTATAACTCTGATAGATGGCAATCTTATGAGTATTATAAAAAATTAGTAGGCAGAGCTTGAGAGAGAATGAAAGAATATCCAAAAGAAACAGAAAATTGGAAAACTGGCATTTCTATTGGAACGATTCGAGGCACTTCAATTCAGAATCTTTGAAACAGAAAAACTGGAAATGCAGAAATTATAAATATATTTTTAAATACTCGGTTGTAACATTTCGAGGTAATTACCATGATGATAAAGTTCCGTCAACGTGCCACATCTCAACTGTAAAAGCATGCCCAAATGATCATGGTCCAAGGTTCCGCAACTGCCCCTCCTTAATTCCTGTCGTCTTTTCTCGAGATCGGGTGCCATCAGGTGGCCCTAAGAATCTCTTCGTGGCCACCTCGTTCTCTCTTGTTGTCGAAGAAAAACTCTCGCTTAGAAATCACTTGCTCAACAAACTAAAACTCCTCGAGTTCAAGACAGATTTTAAAATTCCGAGTCGTTCAAAGTCTTCTTACGATCTATCGTTTCAAATAAATGGTCCATCTGTTCATGTGTCACTTTTTTGACTTTTGACAAATCATATCACTCTTAATATTGTCCTGAGCTCTACAAAACTCGTTCTCCCATCTCTCGTTTTTCAAGCACAATTCGTCCATCGTAGCCGCATGACAATTCAACACAGCCCACCAGAAACTAATGAAATTTCTAAGATGTTCATCATCAGTAAGTCATCTTTTCGAATTCGTCAAGTCCTAAGGGCCGAAGTGTTCTGACGCGAGATATTAATTTCATATCGATTAACGCGCTCTACAACGTAACTACAAACTTCAAAATGTAAAAGCGTCGTGACGAGATCGTCTGCCAGATCAAGCGATGCGGAAACGGCGACGCGATGCGAAGAAACGAGGAGAGATCGAGGAAGAGAGGAATGAATCACAAGACGAAAAAGCGCGGCGCGCATCGCGCGCAGACTAACACCACACCGTTCGCTCGAGATCAGCATGACCTGGGCGCACGAGTAAATACCCCTCCCCCCC